GGAAACAGGGGTGGGTTTTTCGTTTACTAACAAATCGCATCCGGGGAACGCTTCCGAACGTGAGGTCTCTCGCCTGAACAAGGGGAGAAGGTACTTTTTCTTTACCCTCTTCCCTTACAGAGACGGAGACAACTGAGACGTGAAGAAAACGTGTAGAACTGCAATATAGAACACTCGCAGTGGTAGGGACCGGAACGGGGCTTACTACCGGAGGAAATCTGGACGCTCGATTGGCCGTGGCCATCTCCTGTCCTGTGCAAACTGACTGACTGACTGACTGATATAACAGATACTGCGCCGTCTCCCTTTCCCTTCTACCTTCCAGATATTACTCCCTCGTGGAGAGTCGGAAGAAGCGTTACACTCACAGGCGAGTCGGTCCGCATACGGAACTCGCCATTACCAGGACACCCAATAGGAGGAGGCCTCTCTACGTCCTGTGGTTCGAATTTGAATTTGGCCTGACCTTGATTTGAAACTAGATACCGTGTTGCAGCTCCGGTTTAAAATTTACGATTTGTCCCAACTGCCTGATAACTTTCGCTCACCTAATATATCGAACTGGATTAATGCACCTCGGTGTACATTATATACAACTTCTCTTGGTTTTTAATTGAGCTTCCTGAGTCTTATGTATGCAGAAAGCAACTTTAGGCTATCGATTGATTCATCGATCGAACTTTAGGCCGTAGCCCGAAGTTTTGAAAAGATCTTTTCAAAGTGGCAGCGAAATTATTACACGTGAATGCATGCGTTATTTTCATACAATTGGTTTATTGAGAACAATGAACGTTTAATATTGAACGTTCATTTATATACTTATTTCATCAATATTGATGAAATAAGTATATAAGCTTATAGACTATGTGTCATAGGAGGTTTTATGTGTCCTATAACTAGGATATATGTTTATCAATAAATCGTGTTTCATCTATACCTAGGGACGATTTTAGTTACATTTATATTAATATAAATTGGCCGCAATTACGGCCAATGCATGAAAAACAGGAACCGAATTCGCGGTTTACATGTTGTTATGGCTACGGTAGCTACGGAATGATCATATGATTATTCTAAAACGACTCAATTCATCTTAGAATCTGTATCCGCCGGAGGCATGCATTTATCCACTGGGAAATTGCTTTTAATCAACATAACAGCTAATGCCCGGAAATTAGAAAATAATTGTGCATATTATTTCCGTGGAATGTTTGGATCACGTGTTACTCTTGTAGAAAATAGGATGAAGTAGTCCCAGTGAAGTCTCTTAGAGTCTCATTAGAGCCCCGTTTGATTCCTATTAGAGTCCCACTTGAGTCCTATTAGAGTCCATTAGAATCTCATTATAGTCTCACATCGGGAGATCGCATTAGGCACTCATTCAGGGTGCGTTGGGACCCTAAAAGGACCCTTAAGGGAATCTAAAAGGACAACTGTGTTGGCAAAGTATATGTATAGCTAGAATAAATGGCTATAGCTAGAACGTATGTATATATATCTTGTTACAGTTCGCACTCTGACTAGTAATTTCTATACATATCGGATTCCGCTCACTAGTAGTCCAACCCAGAACTAGAACTCGAATTGAAATCAGAAGACAGAACTCAGCGACGGAATGGAACTATAATGAGTGGAAATTCGGATTGTACAAGGATATTGTGTTCAATAAAACAAGAGTTCATAGTTCATGAGCAATCAGCACA